CATTCCCGCGTGTCCTTGCAGCCCCGCCCACTGACCTCTCTCGGTCCCTTTCCAGCTCTGGATGCTGTCCTCACCGAGCTGGGCCGGATGGCAGGTAAGCAAGCTTGCCTCTTTTCTCAGCCCTGCCCTGGTCCAGACAGCTTCTGGGTAGACCCCCAACCAGCCTCACTACCAGGAGATATGGGTATGGTTTCCAAAGTCAAAGGCCGGGAGAAGCTCCTGCCTCCCCATAACACTACATCCCCCGCCAAGCCCAACTCCCAGAGTAGGTTGGTCCTAAAACATGCAGCCAAAAGGGCCTGGGGGAGACACACCCTTCTCCTCTGCCCTCCCCCCGTGTTCCCCCTCCCACCCCCCGCCCCCAGCCCTCTCTGCAGACCCACTGAAAATCCAGGGAACGGCGGAGGGAATCCGGATCTTCAGCAAGGTCAAGTACTACAACATGGACTACATGAAAACCACCTGGTTCCACAAGTAGGTCCGCCTTGCCCTGGAGCCCCGGGCAGCTTTCCCCTCCACCTACCCAGGCCCTCCGACAGGGCACAGGCCCACTGGTTGGCCCACATGAGAGCTTCCCCCTGGCCCCTGTCCACAGAAGGAGGCAGGCAGAGGGAGCAGCAGTCTGGGGAGTAGGAAGGCCGCATCCTGGTCATTGTCTCAGAACAGTGTCTGAGACAAGGGGCAGGGATGGAGGAGGATGGTCAGGTGAGTCATGGTAGGTCTCTGTAGCCATAGCCAACTCAGGTAGCCAGACACTACCTGAGTTCAGAGGAAAGACGAAGGTGGAAGGAATCTATGGGGCCAGGAATTCGCTGGAGGCTAAAGCTTGAAATCAGGATACGGAGCTTTTTCTCACGTGTGCACTTCAGCCTCGTGCAGCAAATATTACTGCCTCCGTTCCCTCAAGAATCCGTTTGCGTTGGTCAAGCATCCGTGAGTGAGCGCCAAGACCGGATTGAATTCCAGAAACAGCCCTTCCTTGAGAGTGCCTCTGTGTCCTGTGACCTAAGCCAGAGGTGGCGCTTCCGCAGCACAGCACAGGACCCGGGCCAGGGGTCTCGAGGAAGGGAAACCAGGAAAGAAGGAAAGGACTTCACCTTATTACGTGGTTCTTCCTGCCTGGGCATGATTGGCTCCGGGAACCCAGGAGGCCTTAAGATGGGGTGCATGAGGTGGCAGGGGAGGTGGTAGTCACTGGGCTGAGCCTGCAGAGTGCCACACTCTGAGCTGACACAGCGGATGTGCCACACAACTGAGTGAAGGAATGATCCGGTGATGAATGAGTGAAGGAATGATCCAGTGATGAATGAGTGAAGGCATGATCCAGTGATGAATGAGTGAATGAATGGTTCCGTGATGAGTGAATGAAGGAATGATCCAGTGACGAATGAGTGAATGAATGGTTCAGTGTGAGTGAATGAAGGAATGACCCAGTGATGAATGAGTGAAGGCATGATCCAGTGATGAATGAGTGAATGAATGGTTCAGTGTGAGTGAGTGAAGGAATGACCCAGTGATGAATGAGTGAATGAGCGGTTGGTTCAGTGACGAGTGAATGAAGGAATGATCCAGTGATGAATGAATGAAGGCATGATCCAGTGATGAATGAGTGAATGAACGTTTCAGTGGAGTGAATGAAGGAATGATCCAGTGATGAATGAATGAATGGTTCAGCGTGAGCGAGTGAAGGAATGACCAAGTGATGAATGAGTGAATGAACGGTTCAGTGA